CTTTGTCAGAAAAGTGATGTGTCTGCTTTTTAATATGCTAGGTTTGATATGTCTAGGTTTGTCACACCTTTTTATCAGAGAAATGCAAATCTAAACCATCTCACACTGGTCAGAACAGTCATCATTAAAAACACTGCAAATAACAAATGCTGGAGAGGATGTAGTGAAAAGCGAACCCTCCTACAATGTTGATGGGAATATAAATTGATGCAGTCATTATGGAGAACAGTATGGAGGTCCCTCAAAAAAAAAAAAAAACTTAACATAGAATTACCATACAATTCAGCAATCCCACTCCTGGGAAGATAGACAGACAAAATCCTAATTCACAAAGATAAACGCACCCAGTGTTCATAGCCGCACTATTTACAATAGCCAAGACAGGGAAGCAACCTACACGTCCGTCAACACTGGTGTTTCCAAAAGCAGGGTTAACAGTGGAGACTGAGGAATGACTTTCGGTCATAAACAAACCACATTTTTATATTGAAATACAATTAATTTACAATGTTGTGTTAATTTCTGCTGTATAGCAAAGTGATTCACTTATAAATGTATATACATCCTTTTGTATGTTCTTTTTCATGATGGCTTATCATGGGATGCTGAATATAATCCTCTGTGCCCTGCAGGAGGCCCTTGTTGTTTATCCGTCCTAAGCGTAACACGCTCACACTTGCTGAGCCCACGCGCTCAGTCCTTCCTTCCCCTCCCCGCCCTTGGCAGCCACAAGTCCCTGCTCCATGCCTGTGAGTCTGTTTCTGTTCTGAAGATAGATTCATTTTGTGTCATATTTCAGATGTCACACAAAAGTGATATCATACGGTATTCCTCTTTCTCTTTCTGACTTTCTTCACGTAGTACAATAATCTCTACCACGTTGCTGCAAATGCCATTATTTCATTCTTTTGTGGCCAAGTAATATTCCACTGAACATATATACATAAAATATCTTCTTTATCCATTCATCTGTCAGTGGACATTTAGGTTGGTCCCATGTCCTGGATATTGTAAATAATGCTGCCATGAACACGGGGGTGCATGGATCTCTTCGAATTGGAGTGTTTGTCTTTTACAGATAAATGCCCAGGAGTGCGATTGCTGGATCATACGGTAGCTCTGCTTTTAGTTTCTAAAATACTGTTTGTTTGCTCTTAATTCCTTTCTGTATCCCCAAACTCCCACCGGGGATCATTTTTCTCTGCTTGTATAATAGTAGTTTGTTTTTCTTCCACTGTTGTGTCTGTTGATTTTTCATCTCTCTTAAAATCTTTATTTGCCTTCATTTTTCAAAGATGTTGTCACAGCTTATAGAAGTCTAGGAAGCAGTTATTTTCCTTGAGTACATGAAACTTTATTTTTTGCTGTTATCTGAGTTTCATCAGTTTGTTTAAAAGTCAGCTGTCAGTCTTATCATTGGTTCTCTGAAAGTTATGTGTTTTTGGCTCCTTTTAAGATTTTTCTCTTTTTTTATTTTAGCAGTTTTGCTGTAATGTGTGGTTGTTTTTGTATTTATCCTAAGTCTGATAATGTTCCCTGAATTCATCACTTAGCGTCTTTTATTATTTCCACTCTCCTCTCCTGAGCCCCAGTTTTAAGTATAATATTATCTTCAGCTATGAGGAAGTGCCAGCATTCGACCATCCTTTCCTCCTTGTCTCCTATAGCTCCTCCTAATACTTTGCCACTTTGGGAATTGCTTTTTCCCACCCTTTTGTCTCTCAATGGCTCAATCTGGATGTGTTCTTCTGACCTACCCTCGGGGTTACTGGTTCTTTCCTCACATGTCTGATGTGCTGTTAAACTCAGCCACTGATGGTTAATTGCACTTACTGGACTTTCTGGTTCTGGAATTAATCATTTTCTCTTTTTCTAATAGTTCATAACCCTGTGTCAACTTTTTCATTCCTATCTTTTATTCATGCTAATATATGAAGTGTGGCTCTTCTAAATTTTGTATCTGATAACTCTATTACATTTGTGACCATTCTGTTTCCTGGATACCATGTATATCTGCTTTGTTTGCCTTCCGTTCTTCTGATTGTTCATCATGTCCTGTCTCTTCATGCGCTAGCTGCTCTGTGTACGTGTTCTTTCCTGAAATGTAAGATCTTGCACATAAGAACACAGCAGAGAGGATTTTAACGATGCATTCTCCTTTGGAGAGCATGTCCTTCCCCCCTTTAGGCGGTCAGCATCGGCCACCTGATGTCCAGCCAGAGGCTGAGGTGGTCGAGCTGGTCTGTGTGGGCTCCTCTTTCTGCTTTCTCTTTCGCTTGAGCGGCAAACACTTCAGGTCCCACCCCGAAGCCCAGGGGTGGCAGGTCCATCTGGAATGAATGCACAGCCCTCTTGTTGGCTTTCTATCTGTCTCCCTTTCATGCCATCTCTCAGATTTATTGTGCGGTCAGTGCTCAGTCGCTCAGTCGTGTCCAGCTCTGCGTGACCCCATGGACTGCAGCCCGCCACGCTTCTCTGCCCATGGGGTTTCCCAGGCAAGAATACTGGGGCATGTAGTCATGTCCTTCTCCAGAGGATCTTCCCAACCCAGGGACCAAACCCGTGTCTCTACACCTCCTGCGTTGGCAGGTGGGCTCCTTACCACTAGCACCACCTGGGAAGTCTCCACAGTTTCCTTTTATGCTTTCGTACAACTCTTCTCTTGCTTGTCCTAGAGATCACGACTTGATCCTTTCACCATCAAAACCGGACTTTAAGTTTTGGTTTCCCAGCCCGCAGGACCTGGAGAAAACTCGCTTGGCTTCTCCCCAGCAGCTGTGACCACACATTCAGAAGCTGCATGCACCCCCAGGTCAAAGCAGCCCCAGACCACAGGTTCATCTTTCTGAGTCTCCATCCTCCCCTGGACCCTGACAGTCCCCCGTGCTCTCAAGCGAAATTTTCAGATTCCTCCTCCAGCTCTCGCTGCTGTTCTCAGTGGTCGGCCCAAGCCTCGTTTGCCACCTCCGGGCGTAGAAACGTGGCAGCGATCACTGCAGCTGCCGTTTGGTTCACCTCCAAGCTTCGAGTTTTCAAACGCCAGTGTAGAGAATTGTATGCATGATGGGGACTTTGGACCCGCATCCTAATAGTCAGGACTTATTATTAAGTTCTCGCTGTGTTGGATGCTGGCCCGAGTACTCTGCATGTGTTACTTCACTTTATCCTCACAGCAAGGCTTTGAGTCACAAGTATTAGTGTAACCGCACTGCACAAGTCACAGATTGGAGGTACAGACGGAAGCCTGCCACGGCCACATGTCAGGGCTGGGGAGGGGTGGCAGTGACCCAGAAGAATCTGGCCCCAGAGTCTCCCCTTTAAACCACCACACTGTATTGGTGACTGGGAAGCAGTTAAAGATCTTTCAAAAAGCCACAGACCCTGAAGTGCTGGGTAAATGGAGCTTGTGGTTAAGGGAGACAGGTGTGTGGTGAGCAGCCCCTGACCAGACCAGTGAAGACGCGTGTTAATAAGATGGATCCTAAGATGCTATATTTTGCATTTCCTTAAGGTATGTAAGGATTGATCATTGTCTCTTGTCACTGACAAAATCATAAACCTGAGCTCAGAGGTGGAAACTATTTCAAGAGAGGGCTTGGTACTAGAATGTATTATTTGGTCATTGTTAAGACAGTCACATAACTGTAATCAGTTTCCTGGTACAAAAATAAAATAAGAAGGATCCTTTCTAAATACACTGAAACTCTAAATTCTAGCAAGTCTACTTGAAGAGTTCAATTGTTATCCTGCTGAAGAGCAGTAAAGCCGTATTTGTCCAGGTTTAACTCCAGTGCTATTCTCCCAGGGGGGAGGTACCACACTCCCTCCCCCAGGCACAGAACCGCCAGCCCCAGGGCCGGGGCTGGCAGACTGCCCCTGCTGTCTGCTACCAGGAGGGGGACAGGACACAACCTATGCAGCATCCCGGGAGGCTGTGCTTCCTTGGCCATCTAGCGGTCACCACTGTCCCCGGACGATGTCTGCTGGGTCCCTCCTCCACGGCAGCCCCGGCCAAGGCCGGCTCCCCACACCTCCTCCCGTCGTGAAACACAAGCACCCAGCCCCCTGGAGCCCCGCAGCCCAGTGTCTGAGCCAGGACACGCAGAAGGTTCCAAGAAGGGCGACCAGTGAACAGGAGAAACACATTAACTAGGAGCCCATCGCAACCCCCTCAGAATCCCCAGTTCAAACTTCCCCATAAACATCACCAATTAATTTTGAGTCCAGTCCAACATTTGCTCCAAAATGAACAGCTGAGAAATGAGTCTGCGTGCTTAAAGCACAGGTGCCCGACGACCATGACTACGTTCAGCCAACCAGCTCCTGGGACACGGCGCTGGGGTGGTTGGGGGGATGGCAAAACCACTGCCTCCTGGGCGGGGCCTGAGGGTGGAGGACCTGAAGAGGAGACCAGCCAAGCCCTGGCCTGTTGCCAAACAGCGCGGCTGCTCACAACACACACAGGAGCCCCCGATCGGGAAGGACCCAGAGCCCGCCAGGGCGGGAGCCGGCGGACTCGGGTTTAGTCTCCTGCATCGTCCCGCTGACGCCCAGGACAGCCCGGCTCCCACAGCCCCAATGCCAGGGCGGCTGGGTGACTGCGACGGGGAAGTCACAGCCCAGTCCTGACGTCTGCTTTTGCACAGAACACATATGAGCTGGAGGCTCAAGGGAGCCCACTGTTTGACTTGCTAATGGCTCCAGTGCAGCTGGGTCTGCTGTGGGTCAGGGCCCTTCACCACCTGCCACGGGCGGCCCTCCACCGAGGGCACAGAGCAGTGTTGCTGTTCAAATAAAAGCATGAATGCTGCATTGAAACTGGAAATTGAAATACTCAACATAGAAGCCCTGATGGAAGCAGACCCGGACATGCTTTTCACCCACCGACGCTAAAGAACAACACGGCCACTATGATTAAACAGCTGGTTAAGAGAACGGGGGCCAGAAGACCAAACGGGCTATTTTCTGTCTTCCTTCTCATTTTAATGCCTTGCTGTTAGAAGGCGGCCCGGGAAGGTTCAGAGGGCACCCTGCTGCCTTGCTTCGAAGACCACAGCTGGGCCTCAGCTGGACCAGAGCTGGGGGAAGGCGCTGTGTCCGTGACTCTGGACGAGGCCAGCAGGTGCCAGGCGGCCAACAGAGCCCCTGCCTTTCTCGGGGCCAAGCTCGGGCCAGGCTCCACTCCAGAGGGAGACAGAGGAGAAGCTGCAGGGCCGTACCGAGGCGAGCCCGCGGCCCTGGAGCCGCCCGAGGGCACCTCCGGAATGGAGCTCCCGGGTTTGCCGGAAGGTCCCCAGCAGGCCGGGGTCTGCAGAGACCACCCTCGGCGTGCCCACACCTCCGCCCCCCTCTCCCCTGGGACCGGCCGGCCACCCCAGCACCCTCACCAGCACTCGCCTGTCTGAGCGGAACCACCCACCCTCCTTCCCTGCCCACCGAGGCATGCGGCCTGCGAGTCCAGCCACAGCCCACGGGCCGGCGGGGTGGCTGGATTTCATGTCTGGTGGCTCTTGGTAGCAGGGAGAGGGGCTGGGCCGGGGAGAGCTGTCAGTCGCAAGCCCTTAGTTGGAGCAAACACCGCAGAGAAAGCAGAGGGTCAGCAGCTTCCAGGTGAGCCTGCGGGCTCCACTCTATCAGGGTTCACAGAATCGTGTCCGTTTCAGGTGCTCGGCAGAGCGATTCGGGTACACATGCATATACGTATGTGTCTATTTTCATTCTTTCCATCGTAGGTCATTACAGGATACTGAATACAGCCTCCTGTTGTGCTCTGCACTAGGTCAATTAGGTCGTGTCTGACTCTTTGGGGGCCCATGGACTGTAGCTCGCCAGGCTCCTCTGTCCGGGGCATTCTTTAGGCAAAGATACAGGGGTGGGTTGCCATGCCCTCCTCCGGGGGAATCTTCCCCACCCAGGGCCCGAACTCATGTCTCTTTATGTCTCCTGCATTGGCAGGCGGGCGCTTCACCACTAGCGCCACGTGGGAAGCCCCACAGCTCCGGGTGCTATGCAGTGAAGCCCCTCGTTTATCTATTTTACATACAGTCATGTGCCTCTGTCAGTCAGATAATCCCATAATCCTAACTTATCCCGCTCCACCATTCCCTTTCGCAACCGTAAGTTGGTTCTCTATGTCTGCGAGTCTTTCTGTTTGATAAATAGGTTCATTTGTACTATTTTCTAGGTGCACAACTTATGAATCTAAGATAATGAATCTAATCTAAGTTACTCATTCATGTCGTAATTTGACATGTAAGTGACATCGCATGGCGTTCGTCTCTGCCTGACGTGCTTCCCTTACTGTGAGCATCTCTAGGTCCAGCCACGTCGCCGTACATGGCGCGTCTCTGTTTATGTCTGAGTCACGTCCCATCGGATATCTCAGGGAGAAGGGGGCAGAACCTGGGGAAGGCTTCCCAGGGGGGCGCTCAGCTCCTCCCCCACTGGAGTGCACTTGCTCCCCCGTCCAAGCCTGCCCCCAGGGAGGCCAGGCCCCGCCCAGGTAAAGGTGTGAGGCTGGCCTTACAAAACCATAGCCTGTCCCAGGTGCCACCCTGTCCCCTGGGAGCCTCCTCCCAGGGATCTCACGAGAGACAACTCTCCACTCTCTGAGCTTCCCCGGGGTAAAGGCACCTGCGGGTCGGAAGCTCCCTGCCCCGGGGCCTCTGCCCTGAGGACCAGCAGCTGGGAGGCAGAAGCACCTCCAGGACACCGACCAGCACTTTCCACACCTGCCGCCAACCAGGGCCAAACCAAGTGCACAGTGTCATCAACATTCCCGTCTCCTGTATCTGCAGAGGTTTTAACATCTACAAGCCTCTTATGTTCACATAAAGCACTTCAGAAAAAGCAAATTGGCCTTGGCAAGGGAATTTTGGCTTTTGAAAAAGAGTCATCCAATAATTCAACCCCAAATAGCAGTTCAGGGCTTAAAAAAAAAAAAAAACCTCACTTTTAAATATGTATTCAGTTTTTGTAAAGGCTGCTTACCCTTACCAGTATTTTTAAATTATTTCTCCCTTAATCAGGGAGAGAAATTTCACAAGATGCAAATGTTAGGATATCTGAACTCAATAAATTCTTTCCTATTATCCTATTATCCTATTCCCCACTTCCTCCCCTTAGCCTGGCCATCACTCCAGCCGAGAATTAAATTAAATGAGAATCATCACTTCCTTATGCAGACTCCTGTGGCAGGAAGCTTCTGTTAAGTCTAATGTATTATACCTTGAAAAAAATTCTTACAAAAAGCAGCATAACCATCAGAGCTGCTAAATTTTCCCCCGGAAAAGAAAAAAAACGCATTCCAGAGTAAGTGGTGTATTTTCTTCCTTCTCTCTAACTTGAGATCTCCCTTGGTGAGAGTCAAGGGAACAGAATCCCTGCACGCACATCGCTCAAGGATCAAGCAATTTTCCAGAGGCGCTTTCCTCTGTAAGAGAAGACCACCATTCGCTCTAATCACTTTGGACTTTTTGCCTGACATAACGCTTGTTTCCTCGGGACAAACTAAATAACCAAGTTCCACGAACTGAACGCGTTTCACAGTGCACGAACTTGACAGGGAAGGGCATTTAAGCCTGAGAAGCCTGGCTTCATCCATCAGCAGGTGACGTTTTAGTAGCGAACCAGGAGGAAAGGCTAGAAAAAGGACGCACAGTTTACTTAGTCTATGGGAGGAATGAGGAAGGCTCTCACGGAGCAGGAATACTGTTGGTTTTAGGACGTGCTTATAAAGCCCAGCATGCCTGTCAAGAGAAGCTGGGGTCTAACCCCGGGGTGGACGGGCTGAAGACCCCGGCCACCACAGGCAGCAAAGCGCACACCCCACCCCCATCAGGCTCCACACAGGCCGTTCTCATGGCACCCGCATCCCTGCCTGAAAGTGACACCACCTCCACCAACCTACTGGCCAGACCTGGTCACACAGCCAAGGCTAATCCAGCCAAGGCTAATTTCCACCAGCCTAGACAGCATATTAAAAAGCAGAGACATTACTTTGCCAACAAAGGTCTGTCTGGTCAAACCTATGGTTTTTCCAGTGGTCATGTATGGATGTGAGAGTTGGACTATAGAGAAAACTGAGTGTTTGTTGAGAAACTGATGCTTTTGAACTGTTGTGTTGGAGAAGACTCTTGAGAGTCTCTTGGACTTCCAGAAGATTCAACCAGTCCACCCTAAACGAGATCAGTCCGAATATTCATTGGAAGGACTGATATTGAAGCTGAAACTCCAATACTTTGGCCACCTGATGTGAAGAACCGACTCACTGGAAAAGACCCTGATGTTGGGAAAGATTGAGGGCAGGAGGAGAAGGGGACAACAGAGAATAAGATGGTTGGATGGCATCACCGACTCAATGAACATAAGTTTGAGCAAGCCCTGGGAGCTGGTGATGGACAGGGAGGCCTGGTGTGCTGCAGTCCATGGGGTCACAAAGAGTCGGTCACGACTGAGCGACTGAACTGAACTGAACTGAACTCAGGCTTCCTCTGTCCTCTCCCCCGGAGGGCACGACTCCACAAAGTGAAGGAGACACTCCGCCTCGAGGTTGTTCTCGCTTGGACAGAGAAGCCTGCCGTGGCACAGGGCCCTGGTTGTTCTCCATTTCCTAGAGACCTGGGAGTGTGTTTCATTGAGGAATCTGGAAACTGTCCATCATGGTGGAAAGTTACCCAAATCCTGGGGGGAAATGTGTCCCCGACACTCACTCTCTCGTAACCACAGCGTAACGGTGCCAGGTCCACTGCCTGTGAAGCAGGCTGGGGCAGTGGGTCAGCCCAGGCAGGGGGCCCAGGCAGCTGCTGCGTCCACTGCTGGACCCAGATGGCCCAGCTGGCCACCTGGGGAGCGGATGCCTGCACGACCCTGCTGGACTAGCACAAGTGGGCCATCAGAAGCTGGGTTCGCTGGAATCCAGAAGAGGTGAGGTCCTGGTGAGGTCACAGGTGCCTTCACAAACCATCGCGAGGTGTCGCCCCTCATAGTGATGGACTCCAGTCATCTGTCCAGCAGCGGGTCAAGCTCGGGGGGCTCCGGTCGTGGCTCTGAGGGCAGAGCCCACCTGGTCCTGCTGGGGATTTTCCGCCTCCCCTAGCCACACACCCCGTCAGAAGGATGACCATGGCCCCACAGGCCCCCGCCCCCAGCCTCTGGTTCCCCATGTCTCACACAGGGAGGAGAAGGACTTGGGGTCCATAATGGGGAGACAGGAAAGCCAAAAGTTAAATAAAATCCCCTGGACTCAAGGTCCATAAAAGGAAATCCAAGGGGGCCCTACTCGTGGCTTCCTCGGGGCCTGCAAGTCCCAGCCAGGTAGGGAGTGACATGAACAAGCTTCCAAGATGAGGCAGAGGACAGACAGAACCCAGCCCAGGGCCGGTCCACAGAGGCAGATGTAGGGGGAACAGCCCTGCCCTCATCCTCCGCTGACCCCATGTCTGGCCCCACTCGGAGAGGTGGAGGGGGGTGGTGTCCGTGTGTCCCACTGCAAAGTCTGCAAGGTACCTGCTCCCCCTTGGAGACGAGGCCACCCAGCCTCAGGATTCACCACGATGGGGGGTCCCCCCCAGCCCAGCCCCTGGGGTCCTCACCTCTCTTCCAGCTCTAAAGCACTCCCCATCGACTTGGTTAAACCCCGAGAGCGTGTTCCGTCATTTCCATACGTCACCAGTCCAAGCGGATGCCTCTCACCTCATACCTATGCAGGGTGGGGGTGGGGATGGGGTCCCCCCGGGTTTTCTTTTCCTGGAGGATGTGACTCACCCCGCCCTCCCCACCACCCATCGCTGCACTAGACTCTCAGAGCTGCCTGTGACTCACAGTTTGATCACCTGCTCACTCCCCGAAACTCCTGTGTCTGCACAGCACCTCCGACCTGGTCCTCCCTTCCTTCCCAATCTCAGCACCTTACCTGTTCCCGCCCAGCTCACTCTCCTCTCCCATCCACACTTCCCCATTAACATCTACCCAACCCTCACCCCCCAATCCTCCACCCGCCTCACGAATATTGCCTCTCTGGGACCTCCGTCCTATGAAGACTCTCCAGGCTCCCCCGCCTAGTCTCCGAGCCTTTCTCTGCTCTTCCCAGGCTCTCATCCCAGAGCAACGCCAAGGCCCCACACTTCAGGCTTTGCTCAAGACACCCCTGAGCCTGCAAAGTCCACCTCTGACATCCGCCACCTCAGGTCCCTCTGCCAGCCCACCTCTGGCAGCATGGCAGGACGGGCACTAGCTTGGCCTTGTCTTGGAAACAATTAAAATGGTGTGCTGTTGTTGTTCTTCAATTGCTAGTGAAGTGAAGTTGCTCAGTCGTGTCCAACTCTTTGTGACCCCATGGACTGTAGCCCACTAGTCTCCTCTGTCCATGATTTTCCAGGCAAGAATACTGGAGTGGGTTGCCATT